GCTGAAAAAGTCTTGCAGTGACCTGGTGGGTGAGTGAAGAGATGTCAGTGCAGACCCAGAGGGGAGGTGGCCAACCCCTCCTGGGTGGTGCCAGACCACTGCCAGAAGATCCGGGGAAGGGATCCCACAGCTCCACCTGGCACCTGCAATAGGACACCCAGGACTTGGCATCCAGTTTGGGCTTCCTGGGACAGAAAAGGCACAGAAAACAAGCTCAGCAAGAGAGTTAGGGGCTGGAGCACATGGCAAGATATACAAGGAGCAGCTGGTGCTTCTCAGGGAGTTCTTCACGCCATCTCCAGACACCCAACAAGGGGTTACAGACAGGACAAAGCCAGACTTCCCTTGAAGTTTTGTATCAATGGGAGAAAAAGCAGTGGATAAACTCTGATATCTGCTTAGATATCAGAGCCAAACGCTCACCCCGTGGCTGGTGACACACTGAACTTGGGACCAAATAGGGTGCAGAGTAGTTGCCCAAAGCTCTGTGGATTTGTCCCTCAGGGATCTGCTCTGAGCAGGGGCTGGACTGGAGCCCCTAGCTGCAGTCCCCTCAGGGACTCCTGAGGTCCCTTTGCCCTTTGTTATGCTGGCATCCACTCTGAGACCAGCAAGAGCAAATTGAGGATCAACCTCAACATGAAAAAAATCTAGCAGAAATCTCAACCACCACCTTCCAGTCATGCCCTGGGTGCATGATGTCCATGATCTAGCTCAGGCTGTGAGATCCCCATGATCCAGCCCAGGCTGTGTACACAGCAACCAAGCCATGTCCCCAAACACTGATGGAGAACCATCAGTAGGGAGTGTCTGGCTCTGCTCCACAGGGATGAGCCAGGCTCCTCCCTGAAGGACATGACCCAGCATGAGGAGAGCCCCCTAGACACTGTCCCTTGTCCCCATCCTGTGCTCAGTAACGAACTGGCAGCACGTGACTTTCTGTTATCGATGAGATAAAGCCCAGCACAGACCACAGAAGGAGCCCACAGAAGCTGTGGGAGGGAAGGAGGAGGATTTCCAGCTCCCAGGGCCCTCTTGGCTGCAGAACACTGCCCCTCGTACCAGCCTGTGTGAAAGACCCCAGGCTGTGTCACCAGGGTGTCACCAGGATGAGAACTCTGTCACTGGCTCCAGCAGCGAACGGGGGAGATGAGCTGCAGGGCTTTTGAAACCCCCCTCCTCCACACACAGCCACAGCTGAGCCAGGCTTCAAACCCACCCAGCATCATCCCCAAAACGCTTCACGGCAGGAGGGCTCCTCACCTCCAGGATCACAACAGGGGAGAAAGCACCAGGACTCTCCCCAAGGTGTCACCACTTGGCTTTTGCTTCCAGGCTCCTGCTGCCACTGCCAGGGCACAGCTGCTGCTTGACCCTCACCTCCACGAGCATGGGAAATGCTGGCATTGCCCTGGCCTTTCCCTTGGCACAGGAGCAGCACGAGGATGAAGCACTGCCACAGTCCCCGATGGCTTGAGCAACCTGCAGAAAACTTCCTGAAGTTCCCGTGCTGGGGGAGGCTCCTGCCACCACACCAGGGCAGTCACCTCCAGGCTCTCCAGGGCAGGGACAAGCAGCCTCTCTGCCAGTAACCTGGGGTGTGCAATCTGCAGCCCATCTGCCAGGAATCAGGGCTCACCCAGCAGTCATACTTCCCTTTTTCTGCCTCCTCCCACCAAGATTTCTTGATTGCAGCCTGGCCACTTTTGTGCACCTTGTTACTTGAGATTAAAGAAAATGAGACCAGCAACATCCAGAGATGCACAATGAACACACAGGGGCTAAGAAGGACAAGCTGCCCAGCAGCAGTCTGGGCTTCATGGTGGTGACCCCTTGTTGCAGGCACCCTTTGAAGCAGGAGCATTAAACCAATCCCAAGGTCAAGGCACTTCAGCACAAATATCTTTGATGGTAGCGAAGGAGAAACGTTCTTCCACAAAAAATGGTTCATGATGGAAATTGGCTGCTCTTACTAAAATTTTCCACCCACTTCCCAGCCTGAGAACCAACACACGTGGCTCAGGAAAGGGACAGCCCCCAGCAGGCATGATGCTCAGAGACAGAGGCTGCCTTCACTCCCTGATGTGCTGCAGGCACCACAAAGCCCTGGTGAGGGGATGAAGGCTCAGCTGGCCCCAAAACAGAGCAGACCTCAGGGACAGGCCTCCCACACCCCCAGGTGTGTTTATCCAGCCTCTCCTCACCCTCTGCCCACCAGAACTCCATCTCAGTCCCCCTCAGCTGTCAGCTGGGGAGCTGCAGACCCCTGTTTCCTCTGGTCACCTTAAGATCACTTTCATTTCCATTTAACAGGCACGTGACAAAGGGAACAAGTGATGCTAGGGGACATTTTTACTGTATTACCACAGCCCAGGTTTAAATCTCCCGAGCTAAGCAGCTCCAGCCTCTCTTCATCTCCTCCCCAAAGCTGTCCTGCTTCAATCCACATGACTGGAAGTCATCTGGGGCACAGGGAGAGGCAGCTGCCCAACACCAAAATACAGCCCCAGCCCTACAGAGACACCCAGCTGCCACTGGCAGGGGCACGTGTGCTCTGCAGCCCCAGCAAGGTACTCCCTCTGCTCCTTGCCAAGGAAAATGCCACATAAAACCATGTCACCAGCTGGGACCTGAGCTGCCTGCACTGTGCAGGGACACAGTGACAATAAATCACATTGCTAGGGCTGGGTGTCCACCTCCAACTGCCCCTGCTGCAGCAGGCCTCAGGCACTTCTTCCAAACCACCAGGAAAAGCCTTTCCTAATGACCCCCAGCCATGAGATCTGGTTAATCCCTTCTCTAACACCCTTCAAACCCCCAGAACTCCCTAGGTGCTGTAAATATACAGGGTCCTGCTGCACTGCCCAGGAGGATTACTTTTATTTTCACCCCAGACCAGCTGCCATGGCACAGCTGCCTCCTTCCAGCTGCCATTCCCTGCTCCCAGAGCACCACACAAGGCTCTTCCAGCCTAACGAGCCCTGCATTTCCCTCTAATTAGCCTGCTGTTCTGACTTGCCCAGGAGCAGGGCAGCACAGAATCGTGCTGGGCCAGACATCCCTGCTAACAGCTGCCAGAATCTGGCACTGCTCCTCCCTGTCTAAGCTCAGGTCTCCCAGAAAACTCTCCGCAGGAAATTCCAGATGCCACCTGGAAGCAATGCCTGTCCCACCTGGTGCTGGCACAAAAGTGCTCTGTGGTCCCATCCTGACCTCCCATGCACACCTCAGCCCAGCACAGCGCTCAGCTTCACTCGGGACAGGTGCTGAGTGCCTCACTTTTCCTCCCTGAGCTGCATGAGGGGGAGAGACCACCAGGCAGGCAGCCTGGAGGCACACTGGAGAGAAGTTCTCCTCACTTAATTAGCCAAATTAACTTGCCAGAAGGAACCAGCCTCCCTCTGTGACATGGCCCACCTTGGACCTGCTTTCTGCCAGGGGAGCTCCATCCATCCCACAGGACACCCTGCACCACTGCAGCGTTAGAGGCTCTCGTGTCTGAGCCCTGCCTGGTGATCAGCAGCATGTCAGGCAACAGGCTCTCACAGAAAGACATTTTTAGCAGAAATTCATTTAGCATTAATTAATTGTACATGTACAGATGCAGACAGAACGGGGGAATGGCTTCAAACTAAACAAAAGGAGACTAGATGAGATGTCAGTAGGACGTGAGGGTGGGCAGGCCCTGGCACAGGGTGCCCAGAGCAGCTGTGGCTGTTCTATCCCTGGAAGCGTTCAAAGCCAGGCTGGACAGGGCTCGGAGCAGCCTGGGCTGGTGGAGGTGTCCGTGCCCACGACAGGGTAGAACAGGATGAGCTTTAAGGCCTTTTCTACCGCAACCCAGCGGGCAGGAGCGGGGCCCTGCTCAGCGCAGTCCCGCTGCAGGGGCCGTCCCAGGGCGGAGGAGCAGAGCAGGGACGGAGCCGGCTGGGCACTGACTCAGCCCCAGCTCAGTTTTTCCCCCACGAGTGCCCCGGCCATGGCTGCCCCCGGCCCCGCGTCCCGGCAGGTTCTGCTTTCCCAGCCCGGAGCGACCCCGGCCGCCCCCGCCCAGCCCCGGGCAGCGAGCGCGGTTAAACACGACCGGGGACTGAGGGGAGGGGGCGCACACGCGGCCCCGGCCCGCGGCCCCGGCCCTCTCCGTGCTCCCTCCGGCGCGGAGCCCCCGCTCCCGGGGGCGGGACCCACCTGCCGGCCGCTGCCCGCCGCACCCGGGCCGGTACCGTTCAGCAGCGGGGTGGTTTCGCCCGCACGGCCGTCCTCGTCGTCGTCGCGGTCGCGGCCGGACCAGGACACCTTCTTGGCGACGTTGGCCATGCGGGGCGGCGGCGGCTGCTCCGCCGGGCCTGCCCCGCCGCTCGGTCATGTGACCGCCGCACCGCATCACGTGCTCGTCAGGGCGGCCGGGGGCACCCCGAGGCACTATGGGAGTTGTAGTTCCAGCGAGGGCTCCGCACCCGGAGCAGAGGCGGGACGGAATGGAATGGAATGGAATGGAATGGAATGGAATGGAATGGAATGGAATGGAATGGAACGAGACGGGCTGAGCGGGGCCCCGGTGGCGGCGGCCCGAGAGGTTGCGAGGCTCTGCCCCACGCACAGCCAGCCGGCACCACGGCCCCACCGTCCCCGGGAACAAGGGGCTCCGGGAACGGCCGGAGCCGACGCTGCTCCAGCTCTCCCGGCACAGAATTCCGCAGAGCAGACGTTCGGGAGCGAGTGTGCTTCGCCTTACGGAGCAGCACAGCTCGGGCCAAAGCCCTGCCCCGCCGAGGAGCCCCGCGGGCCGGGGCAGCGCACGGCACCGGCGGCGGCGGCGCTGGCTCACCCCGGTCACGGGCTGTCCCGTGCCCCGCTTCCCCCGATCTGACTCAGCGGCAGGGAACGAGCAGCGCCACCCGCTCCGGCTGCCCGCGCTGAGCAGCTCCTGGCCGGCTGCGAGCGGCACCGAGCGCTGCAGTGAATGAGCAGGACAGAGATAAATTGGGTTTCTCTAACGTTAGGAGCATTTTAATAGGAACCATGGGCTGTACATCCTCTAGGAGCAGGCGACCTCTGGCTTTGGTCCCAGCTCTGGCTGCCAGGACCCCTTTCCCCCCCGGTGGTACCGCTCCTGAGACGCCCTCCGTGCTGGGTGTCCCATCACCCCGGGAGGATTCAGCTCGTGCCGGGAGCGGCACCGTGAGCCAGCCGTGACCGCTGGTAGCCGCCACCGCTCCTGCTGTCAGCCTCGTCCAAGGCAGCGCTGGAGGCAGGGACACGCCGCCCTCCGCACCCCGCCCCGCAAGGAGGCATCGGCCAGCGTGAGGAGGGGGCCTCGGGGCAGCCCCCGCCCGGTCGCCATTCTGGCCACCTCCCCGGGCAGGAGGGCCCGTCTCCAGAGAGCGAAGCCAGCCAGGTGACCCACAAAAGCTTCTCCCGCGCCCAGGTCCATGCTGGGGCCGTCCTGCCCCCGGCCCAGCACAAGCGAGCCACCAGCGGGAATTTCATAGCCCTGCTGGAAGCCGGAGCCGGCAGCCAGCAGCCTCCCGTCCACGTAGAAGCGGTACTGGCCCTGGCCGGAGCACCAGGTGAGGCACAGGTGGTGCCATTTGCCATCCAGGAGCGGCGCCGCCGGGAGCTCCCGAAAGTGCCCGTGCCCCAGGATGAAACGTGCAGAGCCAGGGCGATCCCCACCGCGGCCATGCACGGCCAGCTCGCTGTGCCCGTCCTCGGTGGCGTAGGAGAGGAGAGCACCGAGGCGAGGGGCTGGGGTGGCCAGCCAGGCACAGAGTGACACCGCCCGCAGCCCCCGGTGCGGCCCCAGCCCCAGGACGGCCCCGTGCTCGGCGGAGGTGTTGGGGAAGAGCAGGACGGCACCGGTGCGACAGGCGGGGGAGGGGGGCACCGGGGCCGGGAGACCGTGCCTGGGCTCTCCCGGCTGCCGGGGGGCTGGGGGCTGCTCCTGGGGACCCGTGGTTACGGTGGGGAGCACCGCTGCCATGGTCTGGGGTGCTGGTTCTGCATCCCGAGGGCTCTCCTCATCCTCCCCGGGCTCTCCACCGGGCCCGGCAGCAGCCGGCAGCCAGTGCCCTTCCTCCTGCCGGTGCTGCTGCCACCGCCGCGTCTTCGGCCGGCGGGGGCCGGGGGTGCTGCGGACAGCCTGGCCCGGTGGCTGCTGCTCCAGCTGCCTGCCCCGGCTGCGGGCGGCGTCTGGCAGCCCGTGCGGTTCGGTGCCAGCCTCCAGCGGTGCGGCCGGCGGGTGGGTGAGCAGGCGGTGTGGGCTCAGGGCACCCACTGTCCCCTCCAGCCTCTTCAGCCTGCGGCGCAGCCGCCGGCCAGCAGTGGCCAGGCGGGCCAGCTCCGCACCCAGGGCGGCCCGGGCAGCGTCGGCCGCCTCCGCCTGCTCCGCCAGCGCCTGGAAACGTCCGTCGATGTTGTAGGAGATGTTGTAGTTGCTGGCGATGCCCTGGAGATGGTTCAGTGTCACCTCCTGGAGCCGGAGAAACTGCAAGGGAGTGGGATGATGTGGGGCGAGCCCACGCCTCCGTGCCGAGTCCCTGCCCCACCCAAAATGCCGGGTGTCCCTTGGCACAGGCTGGGCAGCACCCCCTCCCTGCCCCGGGCACCCACCTGCTCCTCCAGGCGCCGCAGCCGCAGGAGCAGGGGCCCGGGGCGGGCCGGGGGCCCCGGTGCTCGGGTCAGGCCGCTCTGCAGGGCGGCAGCGAGGATCAGGCAGAGGGGCAGTGCCATCCCCGCCATCCCGCGGCCGGACGCTTTCTGCCTGCACGGCAAGGCCGGCCCTGCCCCTGTGGTGTCCCCCCGGGCAGCCTCCACCACTGATGAGATCCGCAGCCGCCGCTGGCACGGCCCAGCACCGGGGCTCCCAGCGCCGAGGCCCCGGGCCAGGCTCTGCGGGGGCGGCTGGCCCGGCCCTGAGCTCCCGGGGCCCCGCGGCAGAGGCCGGGCCGGGGGCATCCTGCTGGGAGGTGGGGAAAGGTGTGGGGGGATCCTGGGCACGTGGCTGGATGCGGGGCAGGTCGGACGGAGTGGTCAGCGCCGGCAGGACAGGACAGGAGAGGAGAGCACAGAACAGACAGGACAGGTCAGGTCAGATGGAGCGGTCAGTGCCGGCAGGACAGGGCAGGCAGGACAGGAGAGCGCAGGGCAGGACAGGACAGGAGAGGAGAGCACAGAACAGACAGGCCAGGTCAGGTCAGATGGAGCGGTCAGTGCCGGCAGGACAGGGCAGGCAGGACAGGAGAGCGCAGGGCAGGGCAGATGGAGCTGTCAGTGCCGACAGGGCAGGACAGGCAGGACAGGAGAGCGCAGGACAGGACAGGACAGGAGAGCGCAGGGCAGGACAGGACAGACAGGACAGGAGAGCACAGGGCAGGGCAGGACAGGACAGGAGAGCGCAGGGCAGGGCAGGACAGGCAGGACAGGGCCGGTCGCACGGAGCGGTCAGCGCCGGCCGGACAGGGCGGTGCGGCAGGACCGCCACGAGGGGGCAGCACGTGCGCGCAGCAGCGCCCCAGGTGGGCGTGGCTTCACCGCGGAGCAGCGGGGCCCCGCCCTCTCCTTGGCCCCGCCCCGTACCCTTGAGCCCGGCACAAGATGGCGGCTGCGACCCTCGCCCGCCGGATCGGCCGCTCAGGTGCGCCCGGACCCTGCCCCGACCGCTCCCTGCGGCGGGCTCGGCGTGTCCCCGAGCCCCGCTGCCTCTCTGTGCCCCTCCCTTACCGTCAGGGTGTTCCACGTGTCGCCCTGCCGTGGGTTGGGGTGTCCCCGTGTCCCGCCGTGTCCGTGCGGAGCGGTTTTGGGGAGCGCACCCCACAGCTGTGGGGGCTGTGCTCTTCCCGTCCTTACCTGTCTGTGTCCCCCAGGTGTGCTGCCCCTGTGCTGCCGCCTCCCGGCGTGGGACAGGGCCACCCGGCCGCCCCCCAGCCCCCTGCAGCCCCCAGGGCTCCCGCTCGCCCCGTGTCGTTCCTTCAGCAACAACAGGATCCAGGTGGAGCTGGACGAGAGCTCAGGTACGGCGGTGTCACCTCAACCCACGGGCATTGTGGGGCACAGGCAGCGTCCCTTCCACTCCTGTCGCCTGGCATGTGTGGCTCTGGGCATGAAAAGTCACCAAAGCCCCAGGTGTTGGAGCTGTAGCTGCTTTGGAGGCTCAGGAAGAAGTGTTTGGGCTTGGGAGTCTGACCAGTTGTGGGCACTTCAGGTGGTTGGTGCTACAGACAAATCCTGGCTGTCATTGTCCCTGCCTGTGCATTGTCCCCTCTCTCGGGGTCCCTGGTTTGGGCACCTGGTAGAGTGGCAGTGCTCCATCAGGGAAGAGCTGTTGGGAATTGCTGTGACCTGGCTACCAGGAATAGCTGTCACGTGCCCATGTCCCTGCACTGAACAAAGGCACCCAAGCCTCTTCCTGTGGCTTCCCAGGTCCTGCTTTCGGGTGCCTGGGTGTCCTCGTGCTGTTCCCAGCTGGGCATGGCTGCAGCACCCGGGCTAAGCACTCCGGGAGAACCTTTGGGTAGGGTAGTGCAGTGTGGGCAGGGACACGGGCTCAGAGCCCTTCCCGTGGTGCTGACAGGCTCCCAGCAGGTGTGTGACCCCCTGGACACAGGCTGTTTGCTGTGACAGAGGCTGCAGGCTCGGCCTTCCCCACTGAGCCCAGAGAGAAGGGAACTGCCTGGCACCGTGACCCGGAAGGTGGCTGGGCTTTGGGACACGTGGGGTGCCACCACATATGGCCTGGCCTGTGCTCCAGTCCACCACCCGCTGAGTGACCCTGGCTTGTGGGTGGATCTGGGCAAAGACAGCACCTTGCTCTTGGCTCTGTTGCTCTGGAAACTTTTAAACAGCCAGGAGTGCTGTTGAGTGGGAGCAGGAAGACACAGTTTGGTGAGGGAAACAGGGAGGTGGGTGAAGCTCCCCTGGGCAGGGCAGTGTGAGCTGCTGTGGGGGGATGTCTGATGTCCCTGTGCGTACCCTGCACAGGTGTTGCCATGATGAAGTTCAAGAGTCCCCCAGTCAACAGCCTCAGCCTGGAGTTCCTCACAGAGTTTTCCATAAGCCTGGAGAAGCTGGAGAACAACCGGGCCTGCCGGGGTGTGATCATCACCTCTGTAAGGGTTTGCTCCTCTTTGGGTCACTGGCAAGGGAGGGCCCCAGGCCTTGGATTGGCTCAGGGAGGAGGGGAGGGCCCTCTTGGAAGGGCCATGATCTTTCTTCTGTGCCCTTTTCTAGCAGAAGAACAACAAGTAAGTGTTGTGCTTTGTCATGAAAAATTAAATCTGCTTATTTGCCAACCTGACACATCCTGTGATACCTCCTGGCTCACTCACAGGGAGCTGCTGGGAGTGTAGTGTGGGGACAAGGTGGTGCCTGGCAATGGGACAGGACAGGTTTTGTGCTGTGTGGCTGATGTACTCACACAGGGACCCTGACCCTGTGTGTGACCCTGTCCTGCTTGTGTTGCGAGCAGAGGCCCAGCCCTGCATGTCATGACAATGGGATAATCCAGGCAGTGGGAGCACTGGGGAGATATTTTCAGAGCCCCAAAAGACCCTGATTTATAGCACACATTCATCACTTTGCCTTCCTCCAACTGCCAGGCCGAGAGCTAAGGGATCCTTTCCTGGGACTCTCAGTGACCTCTGTCTTTTCCCAATTCCAGGCTGTTCCCAAAATATTCTCCTCTGGCCTGGACATCACGGAGATGTGTGGGAAGAGCACAGAGCACTACACCGAGTTCTGGAGAGCCGTGCAGGAGATGTGGCTCCGGCTCTACGGCTCCAACATGGTCACAGTGGCTGCAGTCAACGTACGTCCTTTGGGCCCACCTTCCTCAGGGTGGCATTGCCACCTGCTGCAGCTGCTGTGGGCTGTGTGGGCAGGGACAACTGAAAAACCAGGCTGAAATTTATCCAGGGATGTATCTGTTGGGGTGTTCAGGCAAAACTCGTGTCTGTCAGTTCTGTGGGGTGTGGGAAGGTATGGGAGCGTGGGATGCTGCAGGCTCTGTGTAAGCTGCAGGCACTGCTGGGTTACATTTCAGCATTTCCAGCAGGTTTTGCTCCTCCAGCTGGGGTTTTTGGCCAGCAGTGAAGTGCTGCTGGAGTCGGTGTGTCCACGGATGGGTCATTACATTTTTGGTGTCTTGTTTTCATTTTCCAGGGCGGTGCTGCCCTGGCAGCTCACGGTGGTGTCTGTCCACAGCCCCCCACTGAAGGCACTTGGGTTTTCTCTCAGGCATCCTGTGCAGGGCTGAGCAGCATTGAGCTGTGGAAAAGATGGTCACAAATGGAAGGGAAATCTTCCTTATGAGGGGGGTGAGGCCCTAGAACATGTTGCCCAGAGAAGCTGTGGCTGCTCCATCCCTGGAAGTGTCCAAGGCCAGGCTGAAGTTCTGAGCAACCTGATCTAGCAGAAGGTGTCCCTGCCTGTAACAGGGGGCTGGGAATGAATTGGGCTTTAAGGTGCCTTCCAACCCAAACTGTCCTGTGGGTCTGTAAAACCCTGATAAACATCAGAAATCTTCTTTAGGACTGTTTGGAATTAGGTGACCAGCAATTTGGGGGACATCTGCTCTGTCTTCCTGGTGTCTTCTGTGCTCTGGAGTGATCAGCAAGGCTGGGGGGTGTTTGTAACCATGTCCTGGACTCACTCTGTCCTTCTCTCTGCCAGGGGTCCAGCCCGGCCGGGGGCTGCCTTGTTGCCCTGTCGTGTGACTACAGGATCATGGCAGAGAACCCCAAATTCAGCATTGGCCTGAACGAAGCCCAGCTGGGCATTGTGGCTCCCTTCTGGTAGGCCAGCGCCTCCCACTTCTAATATCATGTGTAGATCTCTGGAAAGAATTCCTCTTCAAGGGGGTTAATTAGTCAGTTCAGCTGGTCATGGCAGTGTGGTTTGTGTGTCAGGGGTCAGGTATTTGCAGCTGCAGGAGATGACACCTCATTTCTGTCCTGTCCTGCAGGAATCTGGAAAGCTTTCAGGCTGCAGAATGTGCTCACATCCCGTACCAAGGACCTCAGTTCTGGCCCTGCAATTAACTCCAGAGCTAGTGCTGGGAGATCTCATGTGTCAGGCTCCGTCTGGGAATAGGCTTTTCTCTGGGTACACACTGTGTCCCTGCACAATCCCATCGTATGGAGATCTCTGAAAGCACAGGGGCACTAAGATACTGACACTCAGGCTCTTGTTTGCCCTAGGAATGTATAAATGTACTGTTGGGAAGGAGCTTTCAATCACAGCAAGTGGGTACCCACAGGCACTGAAAGTAAAAAGAGCAGCTTTTTTACAGAGGAGAGGGAACTCTCTTGGGGTACTCCCAAAAATGGCTCTTCTCACACCATTTTCACATCGTGACTGAGCCCACAGCTGCTGTTCAGAGCACTGAACCTGAGGAGTGGGACCAGGATGCTCTAAGAGCCCTGAGCCTGGGGAGTGGGACCAGGGTGCTGTCAGCTCTTGATGTCTGGGTGAGCTGCCCCTGAGCATGGCTTTCCCTCCCATCTCTTGCAGGTTTAAGGACACGTTTGTGAATGTTGTGGGACAGCGAATTGCTGAACGCTCCCTCCAGCTGGGCTCCCTCCACCCTGCACCTGAGGCCCACAAGTTGGGCCTCGTGGATGAGCTGGTGCCAGAGGAGAAGCTCATGGAGAAGGCTGCAGCTGTCATGGCACAGTGGCTGGCCCTTCCTGGTAAACTTCTGGCAGAAGAGGAGGGGACCTGGTCTGAGTGGGAAGTGCTGGTGCCTGGAGCTGTGTTTTTCCATTGAAAGGGGAGGTTTGGATGGCTGGGAGGTAGGAAAGCTCAGCCCAGTGGTCCCAGCAGCCTTGGGCTAACAGTGACACTGTGCTAACGTTCAGGGCACGTTGCTCCAGCTCAGCTCGTCCTGCCAGCCCTGCTGAGTCAGTCTGGAGGTGTCTGAGCTCCACAGACAAACCGAATCTCTGTCTGTCAGTGAAGGTGTTAGCCCAGGAAAGCTGCCATGGAGCTGAGTGAACAGGCTGGCTGAGAGCTCCTGGGTGGCTGCCAGGCTGCTTTCGTGGTCTGAATCAACTCTTGGCACTCTGGATGGCAGTGATGGGGGTGTGGATGAGGACAGGCAGACAGCACAGGCATCGTATGTTTGGGCTGCTCCGTGACTGCAGCACAAGGCTCCTGGGCTTGGAGAGGGCTCTCCACAGATCTCCCCATGCCGCCTCTCCTCCCTGCTGTCCTGGTGTTGGAGTGACACCTCACCCTCCAAACTGGGGAGCATATTTCAGCTGTGCCCTCTCCTGACTTCCAGGAGGTCCCATGCAGATCCTTCCCCTAAATCAGAGCTGTGTCTGGGTGCAGGTGGCTTCAGCACCCGGGTGCTGGAGCAATTCAGGGTTCCCAGTGTGTGGATGGAGGGGGTCAGTCCTCATTTCATTGTCACAAAGTGTGTGAATAAAACATCTGTTCAGCAGATGTGCTGCTACATCACTGAACCTGGTTCTGTGAGGGTGTGAGCAGATATGTGCTCAAGGCCTAGCTCCAACAGCCCCCGCTGCTCCAGCAGCGTCCACATATCCATGTGGAATGGCACAGGCTCAGGGATGAGCTCGAGGGAAGTGTTGCTGGCTTTTGTACAGCATGGTTGGCAGGAGCAGACTGTCTTGCAGGGATTGAAGGAATTGGTTCAGCTTAGAGCCACAGCAGTTTCAAATACAGAATGTTGTTTGGTTGCTGGTGTGTATTGGAGGTGGATATTGGGCTCTGGAGAGTACAGAAAGAATGAAGTACACAACTTTTTGTTGTCTTTGCCAGTAGATCAGTCATTTCCCCACTGAGCAGTACAGCTATAATTTATTGTATGAGAATTTATCCAGTTCAGCTCCCAGCTGATGGGTTTCTCTTACCCCTTTCCCTGCTGCTTTCAAGAGCACTTTGCTGTGTGAACTATCCCATTAGACCTGCATTTGGTGGCATTGAGAGCTGGTCAGGGGTGAGAACAGGGCGTGTTCCTCATCCTTGCTGTCCTCTCTGCAGACCATGCCCGCCAGCTCACCAAGACCATGATGAGGAAGGCGGTGCTGGACCGCCTGGTAGCTCACCGGGAGGAAGACATCAAGAACTTTGTCAGCTTTGTCTCAAAAGAGTCCATCCAGAAGTCCCTTCGCATGTACATGGAGATGCTGAAGAAGAGGAAGAGCTGAGGATCCAGCTGGTCCCTGGGAGGTCGAGTCACCCTCTGAAACGCTGCAGTAGCTGTTGGTCTCACAGCAAAGCCACCTGCAGTGCCAGCAGTTGGTGACATGCACCTGCTCCCACAGCCACCCAGCTGCCCCTTCCCTTTGTGCCTGTAGAGTGCCTGACACCACTGCTGCCTTCCCTAAGGGCAGGGAGAGCCCACCCAGCCCCCCGAGGAATGGACAGGGACAGGGTCTCAACACGCTGTGGTCTGAGCCTGATGGTCCTTGGATGTCCTCCCTCCTGTCCAGCAGTTAATCGTGAAATGAGGTTTGTCAATAAATCTTCAATGAGGTAGGAGATGGGTGCTTTGTTCCATGGCTTGTCTGTGGTCACAGTGTCCTGGCTGGTGGCCTGTCCCCAGGCTCTGGTTCATGGTGGGCTGGGGGGTCTGGGCACAGCCAGCTGCCATCCTTCTCCAGACCGGGATCTGGGGCAGCCCGTGCACACGACTTGTGGATGGGGCTGAGTGGAACAACTTCATGGGGATTGCTGGTGAGAGCTGGAGCTGGATCCTGGTCTGTGGCTGCAGGAGGAGCTCAGGCTGCCAGCTTCACCTCGACTGGGTAGTGGTCACTGACTGCCAGGGCCTGGAGGAAGGCAAGAGGTGGGAGATGTTCAGTGAGCCACTCACCCCTCACTCTGCTGCTGGGGCTCACAGGGCAGTCACTTGCCCTGCCAGAACCTTCTGCTTGCTGGAGGGGGCACACTGTCCTCAGCCCCAAGACACTCGACACACAAAGCTCTCATGGAGAGGTGCCCAGGTGTGGCTTGGGTGGGCACTGGCAGGGTGCCCCCTGCCCTCCAAGCCCCCATGTCTCATCTGGGGGCTCTGTGCCAGTGATGGGTTGTTGAAGGTTGGCTTGGGCTTGAGTCCTGCCCATGGAAGACAGTAAAAAGCCCTGTGCATCTCTTCTCTTCCCAATGGGGACAGGCAGTGACCCCAAATCCCTTGCCTTTTTCCACCTTTGGGTCCCTTGTCACCTTGAGCCCCTCAAAGAGACACGGACAGCTCTGCAGCTTGGGCCAGCTCAGCTTTGGTGCCTGCTAGGGCCCCAAATGTGTGATCCTGGCTCACCTCCTCCTGGTCCAGCTGGAAAGCGCGCTGGAAATTGTAGATACCAGCTGAGTTGGAGAGGATGCCTCTCTTCAGCTTGTTGCCACACACCACGATCCTGCAAGGGAGATGTGGGTGGATGGTGGGTGCCACTCCTGCCCCTGCTGGCAGCGCAGGGCAGGCAGGGGGCCGCCGGAGTGCCAGGGAAGGGGACAGTGGTGCCGTGGTGGCAGTGCTGACCTGTCATAGGCGCAGTCTGACTTGCCCACGGTGGTGTCGGCGCTGTCGGGGATCAGCCACTTGAAGATGTCGCTGGTGCGCAGGCGGATGGACGGCCAGTCACTTGGCTGGACGTAGGAACAGTCGGCATTGAAGTCCCCCAGGAACATCATATTCTGCAGGGGAGATGGGAGATGTGGGTGGTGGGCTGTTCCTGCCACCAGCCCTCCCATGGCGGTGGCAAGGACCACCCTGTCACAGGGCAGGAACAGGGTTCTCACCCCACCACTCCTGCACCAGCTGCGCTCGCCTCGAAGCAGGGTCCCAGTGTGGGTCAAACAGACCCTGGGGCTCAGTGCCCAACCTCTGTGTCCCCCCAGTGCTGGTGACACTCACATCAGTCCCCCACTTGTCGATGATGGCCAGGTAGACGTCGTAGAGCGCATCAATCTCAGCGACAGCATCATGTGGGGCCGAGTGCAGGGGCACCAGCACAAACTCCTTCACCTCTACCAGGAGAGAGGGATGTCAGCCCCACGGCCACCCCATGCCACAACCAATGGCCACTGGTTCCCCCACTTACTGGTGCTGGGTGCTGAGACCCTCAGGATGAATGGCTCCCGGCTGAAGACATCCTGGGGGTCCTCATATTGGTAGGTGTCCACCACAGACACAACATCTGTCCTGTGGAAACAAAAGGATGGTGACCCTGGGACTTGGCACAGCCACTTTGTCCCCTCCATGGTGCTGGTGGCCCTACAATGCCATGGCACAGGCAGCAGCACTGCCAGCCCCATTACCTGTAGATAAACAGGTACATCTCCTTGTAGTTCTCCCGTCCCAGGGGGCCACTGATCTCATAGTCATATTGGGATGTGGATGCACTGCAGAGACACAAAGGCAGGACAATGATGTGGCTGGGACCATCCTGGATTGGCTTTGGCATGTCCGGGAGCTGGGTGGCCCCAGGGTTTGCACCAGCTGGTCCTGTTCTAGAGTCCCCATGGTTCACTGTGTCCTGGTTGTGGGGTGACATGATGTATAGTAGCTCTGAAGCCCCCAGTGCCTCTCCCCCAGGTGGCTCCTTGGGCACAGCATGACGTGGGGCGGCTCCTGCCACCCTTTCTCTGCAGGGACATTCCTTACCTTCATTTGCAGCACAGCTAAATTAGGTCAGTGAGCAGCCTGGGGCTCTGCAGCACCCAGCGTCACCCTCCCTGCCCTGGCTGCTTTGTGGCCATGCTGGAGGGGACACGGAAGGGGTGAGGACATGGGCTGGGCACACCTGCTCAGGCGCACAAGCTGCCTTTAGACGCGGCAGCAGCAGCTTCCGCATGGTCCCGAGCCGTGCCCTCTCCCAAAACTGGGTCAGCACCCAGCTGGTGGAGGGGCTGCCACCCTGCTGTGGCCAGTTTTAGCCCACCTCAGCAGCCCCTTTTCCTCATAAGGTGCCAGAACCACCCCCTTCAAAGCATCATCCACTGCTGTGCCCATCCTGGGATCCCCTGGCCGCTCACAGGGGACCCCAGGTCCTGGGGGTGCAAGGTCTGCCTGTCCCTTCCTCCCCCTCTCTTCCTTCTGCCTTGTCCTCTTGAATTTTGGAGACAGAGCTTGCCAGAGCTGTAGTTCCTTTCCATCCTGCATGCTCTGGTGAGCTTACAGCTTTCAGAAGGGATTTGTATCACTTGTATCCCCATTCCCTTCACTGGGTTATTCCCAGTGTTGTTTTCAGTGCCTCCTCCTTGCCCCAGCACATTTCTCCTAATGTCCTATTTTCTTCTTTTTCAAAAATAAACTCTGTGTTGATGGATAACTCTTTTTTGCCTCTTACTGCTCAGGCAGCCTGGCTTTCCCTGCTGGTGCTGCCATCCCAGTCCCAGCCCCTCTTGTACCTGTTGAGCTGCTCCATGAGCTCGGTGACGGCGCTGAGGTCGGAGTCGCGCACCTCCTGCACCAGCACCACGTCGTAGCGGCGCAGGACCTGCGAGGCCGAGGGGGACAGCTCAGGGTGAGTCTCCCACCCATCTCCCAGCCTCCCAGCCAGGGACATGGCTCCAACTTCAGCACCATGGGGACTTGCATGTCCCTTGGGGCCAGGGCAGATGTCCCCAGCGGGGCTCAGAGGGACTGTAGGTTGTGCCTGACACCCCAGCAAGCCTTCATCCACCCAGGCAATCCCCAGCACTGTGTTGCCGTCCCATCCTCAGCCACATCCCCATGTCTCTGACACAGGAGCCTTGTTGGGGTCTGTCCCAGCACACAGCCCACCCCCACGGTGCACTGGCTGTACTCACGTTGGTGATGATCTCTGCCACTTCCTTGTTGGACATCTTGGTGTCACCGAAGGCCTGGATGTTGAAGGCACCGATGCGCAGCATGGCAGTGGCTGGGCACAGGAGAGCCACAGCCAGCAGGGACAATTCCAGTGTCACAGTCCCCATTCTTCCAGGATTGATGCTGGGGCACAAGGTTGCAGAGATGGGAGATGAACTCAGAACACTATTTTGAGTTGGGGTAGAGGAAAAAAACATGTAGATCCTTCCAAAGTCCTGGTGTGTGACAGTGTGTCATGGTGGGCATTGCCCAGAGCAGGCTGCAGAGCTGGTGTGGGCAGTCTGCCAGCTCACCACTCCCAGAAGAAGATAAATCCTGTCTCACTGCTGTGAGTCTTCCTCTTCCAGCTCCAGGGATCACTCAGCTCCACTCCCCCACCAGGATGTCTTCGCTGTCACCAGCCCCATCTACCACCGCCAGCATTCCAGGCACCCCAGGCTGTTCCACATCCTTGAACTTCACCACAGCCCCCACTGCTGGAGTAAGGAGCGACTCCTCATCCCAACTTCTCCCAGTTCATCCCAGTCCCACCTGTTTGCAGCTGAAGGCACCAAGCCTGGACCCGTCCTTACCTCGCTGAGCATGCAGCACCTCTGCCCTGCCGGCAGCAGGACGGGCGGCTTTATTCCCAGCCGAGGTGCCGGCAAAGCAGGATGAGTCGGACACCCCCTGGAGGTTTTGACATAACTTTGAGCTCCTTCCCACATTGGGAAACCAAAAATCCCACAGGGCAGCAGGGTGGGGCAAGCCCAGCCATCCCTGTGCTGACACAGCAAAGGACGGACAGGGAGACTTGGGAATGCTGGGGCATTCCTGTGGGACTTGGATGGTATGTGGAGCTTGGGGGGCTGCCATCTGGGGTGGCAGCTAGACCACAGAGTGGGCACAGTGGCCAGGCAGGAGGTGAAGGGCACTGGCCTTAATTGGGTGATTCAGACAGAGTAATTAGAGGGAATAGAAGGAAATGGCCACTGTGTGGGTCAGGCAGGTGAGCACCACCAGCCATGGCAAGAGGGGATGGCTGCGAACCCTGCAGCAGCCCCAGTGTCACCCAGAACAGCCCCACTTGTGACCCAAAGTAGTCCCAGGAGGGCTGGCATTCCCCATGCCAGTCCGTGGCATCACCATGGCCCATGGCATCACCCCAGGATGACAACGGAGCTGGCTCTGGCAGCTGCTCTTGCCAGGACTTGCCAGGCTCTCATGTGCACATCCAGGTTTTGTATCCCCACACCCAGTCTCGGGATGAGTCCCGTGTCCCTCGGTGCTGTGTCGGCACCGAAACCCCCTGGGAAGCACCAAGCCCCCTGGCAGCTGACTCACGTCCTCCCTGCACCCTGTCAGTGCCCTGTCAGCCTGTGTGTGAGGGAGAGCCCCACAGCCAGGCAGGCTCTGTCAGGACGTGGCCCTGTGAGCTGGCGGAAGAGCATCCTGCACCCTGGAAAGGCTGGAGGCCCCAGCCCCGTTCCAGAGTCCTGGCTTTTGCCATCATCAGCTGAGAGGGAAGCAGTGCTCACCACCCCATGGGTGCAGGTGTCTTGATGGCAGGAGCCCTGAGACCTCCCTGTCTCTCTGGCAGGGGGCTGAGGGGCTGGGGCACCAGGGGCTGCTGGGGATACTGAAGGGACCTCCCTTCCAGAGCTGCAGAGGCAGGAAAGGCTCATTTTTAATGGAAGCAGAAAGCAAAACACTTCCACAAGAGCTCAAGGACTCCTTGCAGAGACAGTGGGCAGCTTGGCTGGCACCAGTGGCGCGTGGGCTCCCACAAGGGATGCAGGTGTGTGCTGAGGTGTCCTGGCAGCCACTGGTGTGGGGACAGGCTCAGCGGGCTTTCAGGGTCACCTCCACTGGGAAATGGTCGCTGACAGCCAAAGCCTGCGTGTGGGGGAGAGCAGAGTCACTGACCACAGTCAACTCATAAACCCTGAGCTCATCTGGACCCACTGCCACTTTCATGGCTGGCTAGGACCCCAACGCTCCACTCCAACACCCAAAATTTAGACTGTACCCCAAAATGCTCAATCTGAAGGGTGGATTCAGTACAACAGCTGGATTCAGGCTACCCTTAGGTGCACCTTTGGGAACAGGGAGCCCTCCCACTCTCCCAGGAGCTATGGTGGGACAGATCCCAATGCTGGTGGGCTCATGCCCCACCCGCCCCTCACTCACATCCTTCATCTGGAGGTGGAATTTCTTCTGGAAGTTGTTGATGGTGGCGGAGCCAGGTTCAATGTCTTGGCGCAGGGCAGTTCCACAAGCGATGATGCTGCCGAGGCATCACAGGGGTGTTAGTGCCCACCAGTCCTCCCCATGCCAGCCCTCCTGTGCCAGCCCTGGCCACGGCACCCACCGGTCGTAGGCGCAGTCGGTGTCGGCCACGGTGGTGTCGGCGCTGTCGGGGATGAGCCACTCGCAGGCGCAGAGGGAGCGCAGGCGGATGGACGGCCACTGGGAGCTGGTCACGTAGGAGCAGTCAGCGTTGAAATCACCCAGGAAGATCATGTCCTGCAGGGCAGAGCACTGAGTCCCTGCCCACTCACCTTACAGGGCAGCAAGGGCTCCCTAAAATCTTAAGGGAGATTTCTTGATCTACAAACCCCCCTGAGGTGACCCAGTGTGCAAGGAGAAGCCCCCAGTAATGGCAGGAGGGCCATCCAGCAGCTCCCTGCCTGAAGACTGCTGGGCTGGCACCTGCTCTGATGGGTACAAGAGGCCTCCTGTTCATCAGGGACATGTTCATCCCACCTGCCCACCTGGCTGCCCAGCGTTGAAATCACCCAGGAAGATCATGTCCTGCAGGGCAGAGCACTGAGTCCCTGCCCACTCACCTTACAGGGCAGCAAGGGCTCCCTAAAATCTTAAGGGAGATTTCTTGATCTACAAACCCCCCTGAGGTGACCCAGTGTGCAAGGAGAAGCCCCCAGTAATGGCAGGAGGGCCATCCAGCAGCTCCCTGCCTGAAGACTGCTGGGCTGGCACCTGCTCTGATGGGTACAGGAGGCCTCCTGTTCATCAGGGACATGTTCATCTTCATCCCACCTGCCCACCTGGCTGCTCTGGGGAAGAGCCAAGCTCCCCAATGCTGCTTACGTTGGTCCCCCACTTGTTGATGACATCGGAGTAGACATCGTAGAGCGCGTCAATCTCCTGTGCTGCGTGGCTGGGCTCCGAATGCAGAGGCACCAACACGAACTCCTGCACCTCTGCAGGACAGCTGACCATCAGCCCCTGGCTTGGTGCAACCCCTGAGCAGGGAATAGGAACCCCAGGAAACCACCCCAGGCCAAGCCCCAGCTACTGGCCAGGAAAAGCAGTTGAAGGGAAAGGGTGTGTTGAGTTTGGTGCTGTGCCTGTCCCTCAGACTGGAAATTCCAGTGGGGAGCTGCATGCCTTTGTGCATTGTTTGGGGTTTGCTGCTTGTTTCCCATTAGCATTTGCAAGCCAACATGGTTTTGGGCAGGAGATGGGATACTGTGTGTGCCCTGAGGAGGTTCTCAGGAGATGCAGGTGATGGCAGGGGGTAGGCAGTGGAACAAATTGGGAAATGGGACATGATGGGAGATATAAGGGATGGGGGATGACAGGTGATAGGAGATGGTACATGATGGGAGATGGCACCCAGCCAGAGGAAGTAGGTAGTGGTATATGGCACAAGATGGGACGTAGCATGTAATCGTATGTAGGACACAATGGGAAGCAGCTGGAGATGTGAGATGGCACATAACTGGAGAGAACTCATGGTGGGAGATGACAGGTGATGGGAGGTAAGAGATGGCACATGGTGGGAAACAACAGGGGTTACTGGCCATGGTGAGCAGGGACATTGGACCCCTGGGCACCCATGGGTGGGACCCTGGTGGAGGCTTGCAAGCCCTTGGCAGGCACAGCTCTGGGCTCAGCCCTGCGTGGAGGGGACCCTGTGCCAGGTCTGGGCATCCCCCAAGGTCGGCTCTGCTCACGTGTGGTGGGTGAGGAGAACTTCACAATGAAGGGCTCCCTGCTGAAGGTGTCAGTCCCACAGGGTTCACAGCCATCATCGTAGTAGTAGCTTCCCAGCACGGAGACCATGTCTGACCTGAGGGAGGAGAGCAGGCCAGCCCCCAGCACTACTCCTGCCACAGCCAGGGCCCCCAAAGATACCCATCTCCTTTGGGGGCTGCTGGGGAGGGCAGCAGGTGACACCTGGCAGCATCCCTTACCTGTAGATGAAGAGGTACTGCTCCTTGTAGGTGCCCCGACCCAGGGGGACGCTGACCAAAAGGTCGTATGGGTGCTCCCCAGCACTGAGAGCAAGTTGTGGAGAGGGTGAGAGGAGGCTCCTGGTGCTTCCCAGCATCCACCAGGCTCTCTCCAGCTGAGCCAGAAGTGCCCTGGTGTGGCTGGAATCCCCCCCCAGAATTCCTTTGCAGTCACTCCCACACCAAGCCCTTGGGGTCACCTGTTGAGCTGGTCCATGAGGTCATTCACAGCACTCAGGTCGGCATCCCGGACCTCCTGCACCAGAACGATGTCGTACTCCGACAGGATCTGGGGGGACAAGCTCAGAGCTGCTCTCCCCTGGCCAGGAGCTGCTCTGGGGGGCCCTGTGGTTGCCTGTTCTGGCCTGCAAAGGCTCCCAGGTTGGCAATGGAAGGGCAACAGGGACCTCAGGGCCAGGGATGGGCACCTGTGTTGGTGTGCTCTGGCTTGGAAGGGCCCTGTCTGTCCACCACCCCCCTGTCCAGCAGCTGCTCCAAGGGAGGAACCTGGGCAGCATCAAATCCACCCAGCCTTGACTGGGGACCAGGAAGGGTGGAGATGGCCTGAGATGGAAGATGGTGATGGGGGAAGAGCAGGTGAAGGTAGATGAAGGCCTGGAGGGATGGATGGATGGATGAAGCAGGTGTCCCACTGCCCAAGCTGGCTGCATCCCCAAGAGCAGAGCATGTCCAGGCCTGCTCCTCCCCCTCTACTCACAGAGACGATGATATTTGCCACGGTCTGGTTGGACATCTTGGTGTCCCCAAACGCTTTGATGTTGAAGGCACCAATCTTCAGCGTGGTGGCCACGTGCAGCAGGAGAGCTGCGACCAGCAGCGACAGCGCCAGCCTCGAGGCTGCCATCCTGTGCAGAGGTGCAGAAGGGGCTCAGACCTCCTCGCTGGGAGAGGGATTTGGGGCAGACAACAGGGATAACCAGGGTATTCCCACTGGCCATACTGGTTTCACTGGGAGGCACCTGTTTTCTAAAGGCACCATCAGGATGCAGGGATTGTACACCTCTGTTGCATGGGGCCTCATCCTACCTGTCCCTCCTGGAAGGAGGCAAGGTCACTCACAAGGCTGGAGTGGAAAATTCCCTGGCCAGCAAGTAAATGCCTTTTCACGGTGACACAGAGCAGTCACTTCCTCATTCTCCATGAGGAAGAGCTCAGCCTGGACACCTCTTGTGACCTGGGTCTGGTAGCAGTGGCCAGGGACCCCAAAATCCCTTGGCTTGTGCCTCTCCCACCTTTCTCTGGATCAGTGCCAGAGGCCCCAAAGCCCAAAGACAGGAGCTGTGCTGGGACAGAGCAAGGGACAGATCCTCCCTGACACCCCTCCCCACCTTCCTCACTGCCTGCAGCATCCTCACCTGGGGTAACTGCCCCTCCCCTGTCCCCCGTTCCCCAGCAGTGCCCCTGCCCCGTCCTCACCCAGCTGGCTCCCTCAGGACCCTCTGCAAAGGCAGTGCTGCAGCTCCCACCCACGGGGAAGGCGTTTGGGAAGTATTTCCTGTGGCACTCGACTGCCTTGGGGTAATATTTCACCAGCGTGTGGGATCTGAGCCCTGCCCAAGCCTGGGTTCCCGAGCACCTGAACTCACCCAGAGCCTGAGAAACAGCCTGAGAGGACAGGCAAATGCTCCAGCTTTTGGCACACCAAATCTGAGCCTGAGGAAGGATTTGCTGGCCTCAGGCTCACTTTTCCTTCTGGGGCAGCTGCTCTAGTTACACCCTCACTTTTCCCACTCGCACTCCTGCTCCAAACTCTTCCCTCTAACACCACAGTCCCTTCAGCTGATAACGCAGCCATTTGGCAATGCCATGATTTGGACATGCCAAAAATTGTCCAAAGCCTCATAAATCCTCTCCAATCCTGGAGAGCACAGCAGCCTCTGAACCTCCCAGGCAGAGGCGCCTACAAGGAGCATATTCACCCCAAGCTGCACCCGGGTTTGGCCCAGCAGAGCATTGTGGTAGAATTGAGCTGGAGGAGGTGACACTGTCAAGGGAAGCTCCTGGGGGTGCAGGAAGAGAAGAGAGAGCAGCACCTACCTTTGGTGTTGTCCAAGGACTCTGGGAGGGGAAGGATCTGCACCTGCATTTATGGAGAGGGACACTCTCTCCTTGCCAGGTGGTTGCCCAGCCAAGGATCATGTGAGGCCGCAGGCTCCATATGGCATTTTTCACGGAAGCAGAGGTCTGCTCAGTGAAAAAAGAACTCTTTCAACCTCTGCCAATGCCTCCCACCACAGGTAAGGCCGAGAAGGGATTAAAATGACAACAAGAGCTCTGCAAGGTGGAATGAATGTCAGAGATCTCTTGTGGGGATCAGCAGCTTCCCAATACATGGCATGGGCAACTCTCACTCATCACCAGATACAAATTCTCTTAAAGAGTGTTTATTTCACCAACATGAATCCTTCCCATCCAGCACCCCACATTTCCAACAAGCTGTGAGTGTGTGCTGGGGCCAGCAGGAGCCATCCCAGTGTGGTCTTTGGGTGTGAAGCTGAAAGTCCCAAAAGAATGACAAATCCCTGCCATGGTGCCCATCCCCAGACCCTCCCCAGGCTGTCACCTGCCTCAGGTCCTGTCCCTGGGAGGGCCATGCTGTGCTGGGGGGTGGCAGCCCTCCACCCCAGCCACTCCTCCAGCTCACACAGCGCTGTCCCAGCGGCCTTGGCTGATGTCCCTGCCTCCAAAGGCAGCTGCCATGTTTCCCAGGAGAGCCCCTGCAGTGTGCGGTGATCCTGTGGGCTGGGGGGCCCGGCCAGCCTCTCCCCTGGAGCCAGGCACCCTCCAGGGAAGGGGGGCTTCCCACAGTGGGATCAGGGCTGGACCTAGATGCCCCCACCAGGCTCCCCAGGCTGGACCCAGGGCCAGGTTTCCCCAGCCAAACCCTCCATGGTCAATCCTGCTTCAGGCCAGGAACCCCCCAGGGGCCAGACCCAGGACCAAGACCCTCCTGAGCCATGGTCCCCCAGATCCTGTCTCACCCAGGCTAAGACCCCCTCAAAGTAGAGTCCCAGGGCTTAACACCACTTCTGGGCCAAGACCCCACAAAGATCAGACCCCTTTCATGCCAACACCCCAGGGCTGGACCACCCTCAGGGCCAACATTCCCGCCAGGGCTAAGCCCCAGCGCCAAGACCCGCCCAGGGCCAGTTCTCTCCCAAGCCAAGAGCCGGAGTAGCCCAAGGAGCAGCCCCAGGGTCGATATCCCCTCACGCCCAGAGCCCTCCATGCTGAGACCCCTTGACTCAACCCCAGCACCAGCCCCCGGGGCCAAGACCCCCCTCAGGGCCAGGCTCCTCCCAGGGCTGGGACCGCCTGAGTCCCCCAGAGCCAGATGCCCCCATGTCCGGGTGCTCCCCGCCCATCCCCGGGTCCGGTTCCCTCACGGCCGAGCCCCCGCTACCCCCGCGGGTGGGCCCGCCAGGGGGCGCTGCGGGCGGCGTCAGCGCGTGACGTTTTTTGTCCTGGCCGGGCCGCCGTAGCGGCCGCCAGTCCGCGCCGCCGAGGGGAGGCCGCGCCGAGCGGGGCCGGGACCGGAGCGGGACCGGAGCCATGAGCGACATCCGGCACTCGCTGCTGCGGCGGGACGCGCTGAGCGCCGCCAAGGAGGTGCTCTACCACCTGGACATCTACTTCAGCAGCCAGCTGCAGAACTCGCCGCTGCCGCTCGTGGACAAGGGCCCCACAGATCTGCTCGAGGAGTTCCTGTTCCAGGTCCCCAAGGAGCGCGGAGCGCCGCCCAAGGTGCGGCACGGACACGCGGGACGGGCCCGGGAGGCGCGGGGGACGCAGCCCCGGCGGTGCGGATGGAGGGCAGGCCCAGGAACTCAGGACGGGATCTCTGCTGGAGCCTGAGGCCTCAGAACCGGACAGGCCCCCTCCGGCGCGGGCTGCTGTGGGCAGGGCTGGGTCCCTGAGGCTCTGCTGCTGCTGCGGGCTGAGATGGGCAGGGCTGGGTCCCTGAGGCTCTGCTGCTGCGGGCTGAGTCCCCCAGACGACAGCACGGGGTCCCTGGGGTGCTGGTGACTGAGGGTTTTTGGCAGGGAGGGGGCTGCTGGCCAGTCCCTGATGGGTTGCCCAGGAATCCGGGCCCCGAGGAGCTGTGGTGGAGGCCCTGGGGACTGCCCGGAGCCCCTGAGTGCTGCAGCTGGGCCCTGCCGGGGTTTTTGGGTGGGTTTGGGATGGAGCTGGGGCTCAGAGATGAGCAGTGAGGAGCCACAGCTGCTGGTGAGTTTGGGATACGTGGCCCTGCAGCCTTCAGTGCTGCCGAGGCCAGCTCTGCCCCCCTGCAGTGTCCTCAGTGCTGGTATGAGCAGAGGGAGGAAATATTCCCCCCCAGCAATGTCAGTCTCATCTCTCACTTGGTGGGCAGCACTTGCAGGTGCAGCAAGCACCAGCTTTGGGTATCCAGGTGTTCAGATGAAACCTGGAGCTTTTCAGTGTCACCACATAAATGCACTGGTGGTTCAGGAAGCTTGAATGTGTGTGCTGTGCATAAAGATTGGTTCCTTCAGCCCAAAGGGAGGCTCTCAGCCTTTACTGTTCCTGTCTTTTCTCTTGGTTTGTGGTCCTTCAAGAGGCTCAGTGTATTTTACAGCTTTGCTTTTGTTTTCTTTCAGAGACTGACCCCACTTCAGGAACTTCAGCTCCTTGAGATCATGTGCAATTATTTCCAAGAGCAGACCAAGGATTCAGTCCGGCAGGTCATCTTTTCATCTCTCTTCAGCCCCCAGGGGAACAAAGCAGATGACAGCAGGATGGCCCTGCTGGGGAAGCTGGTCTCCATGGCAGTGGCTGTCTGCAGGGTTCCTGTGCTGGAGTGTGCTGCCTTCTGGCTGCAGGTACAGCTCCTGTGCAGGCAGGGGTGCCTGGGGGAAGGGGTCAGGGCGTGCTCCAGGGTGGGCACAGTGAGCTGGGGCACAGCTGGGCACACTGCTCCTCCCTGGCAGTTTCAGCTGCCCCCATGTCTGTGCTCTGGCATCAGGGAGAGCTTTGCCAATCCATTCATGTGGTGTAATGGAAGAAAAAATATTTGGGTGTTTTTTTTTTTACTGTCAGTGAAAGTTTTAATAATTTCCCCCCCCCCCCAAACCCTGCATATTAAAAGGGCTCAGTAGAGGGTTTGGGCAAAGCAGGGAGCAAACCTTGGCAGTTATGGTCACATTGCCTGGAGAAGCTGACTCTGGAGTTTGAGAAATAAACCCTTCCTGATGTGCAGGTTTGGGTGTGGAAGAGGCAAACCCCTGTTTGAAATTTGGGCACAAAATACTTGTGTCTATCTTCTGTGAATGCAGTAGGTTGGAGATCTCTGTCTTCTCCTTTCCCACTGAGATTCCCCACTGTGGGCTTTGGGAAGTGCACCTTTGTTCCTGCTGCCCTTGTGGGATGTGCAGGAGTCACAGCTGACTCAGGGGCAAGGTGTATTTTTATTTCAGATGGCAGCTTTTAAGTGATGTGAGGATTCCACAGAGTATTTTCCACATCAAAAATATCAGGCATGGCAGCTGAACCAGTTGCTCTGGGACTGGACCAGATGAACTACAGAATGGTTTGTGATGGAAGGGACCTTAAAGCTCATCCCATTCCACCCACTGCAGGGACACCTTCCACTGTCCCAGGTTGTTCCAAGCCCTGTCCAGTGTGGCCTTGAACACTTCCAGACCAGGCTGGAGAGGCCACAGCTTCTCTGGGCAACTTGTGCCGGGCCTCACTGCCCTCACAGGGAAGAAGTGTTGCTGAAGTAGTAAAAACAATAAATCTCTAAGTAAAATATTGATCTAAAAGGTTTCAGTTTTAAGCCACAGATAGCACCATCTATTTTGACACTGCAAGACAATGGTTTTA